GAATTAAATTTGATGAAGAAATTCAAGGCATGTTTCTGCTTGGTTCCCTACCAGATTCTCGGGAAATTCTTAGAACTTCATTATCAAATTCTGCTCCGGATGGTGTGATCTCTATGAATCTTGCCAAGAGCAGCCTTTTAAATGAAGAGATGAGAAGAAAATCTCAAGGTTCCTCCTCATCAGATGTCTTGGTGACTGACTCTAGGGGGAGAAGCAAGAATCGGGGTTCTCAAAATAGAGAACATAATATAAGCAAATCCAAAAGCAGACTTAAAGATATTGAGTGCTATCAGTGCAGGAAGAAAGGGCACACAAAGAAGTTCTGCCGGATTTTGAAAAAGGAGAATAGAGACAAGGAAGAATGTGGCCACCGTCACTACAGAAGATCTTGTTACTGTCCTTGATGCGGATCTGATAAATATTGTTTTTGATGAGTCAAGCTGGGTTGTGGACAGTGGTGCCGCATCTCATGTGACATCAAGGAAGGAATTTTTCGCATCCTATACTCAGGGTGACTTTGGAACTTTGAGTATGGGTAATGAGACTGCATCTAAGGTGGCTGGTGTTGGAACGATTTGTTTAGAAACTAGTATTGGAACTAAACTAGTTTTAAACAATGTAAAACATGCACCTGATGTTTGTTTGCACTTGATCTCTGTTGGTGTTTTAGATGATGAGGGATATATCAGTATCAATGGTGCTGGAAAGTGGAAGCTCACTAACGGTTCCATGATTGTGGCTCGTGGGGAAAAATGTCGTGGTCTATACTGGACTACGGCCTTTACCTGTGTTGATATGGTGAATGTCGTTGAGAGCAATAGCTTTTCAACGTCATGTCATAAGAGGCTTAGCCACATTAGCGAGAAAAGACTAAATGTTCTGGCCAGGAAGAAACTATTGTCAAATTTTGAAAGTGCAAAATTAGAAAAATATGAGCACTGTTTGGCTGAAAACAAAAAAGAGTTTCTTTCCGGTCTCATTCTCCTTCAAGAAAGACAGAGTTGCTTGAGTTGGTGCATTTAGATCTATCTGGCCCAATAAAGACAAGGACTTTGGGTGGTGCACTTTATTTTGCTACCTTTATTGATAATTGCTCAAGGAAACTTTGGATCTACATCTTGAAGAGTAAAGACCAAGTGTTGGGTTTCTTTAAGCAGTTTCAGGCTTTAGTTGAAAGAGAAACTGGAAAGAAACTGAAGTGTATTCGTACTGATAATGGTGGTGAATATTGTGGACCGTTTAACGAATACTGCAAGCGACAGGGTATCAGACACCAGAAGACTCATCCTAAGACTCTTCAACTTAATGGTTTAGCAGAAAGGATGAACATGACATTGATGGAAAGAGTCAGATGTTTGCTTTCTGAAGCAAAGTTGCCAAATTCCTTTTGAGGTGAGGCTTTGTTGAACGCCGCACATGTTATTAATATATCCCCTACGGTTACTTTGCAAAGTGATGTTCCAAACAGAGTTTGGTATGGCAAGGATGTTTCCTATGACCACTTGAAAGTGTTTGGTTGCAAAGCTTTTGTACATGTACCTAAAGATGAGAGGTCAAAATTAACTGCCATGACAAGGCAGTGCATCTTCATTGGTTATGGCCTTGATGAGTTTGGTTATAGGCTATATAGATCTCAAAGCTTTAAAAATAGGGGATTACACTGTTTTTAAACGAAAAGTGAATCAATTAACATAATAGACTCCTAATATAACTCAACAAACTCAATTATAACACACAAATTTTGTATTTCCAGTTATAAAAAGATTCTCAACCAAAAAATACTCCAAAAATATAGCAATTTTCAGAGAAATTATATAATACATATGAATACATAAATTATATTAATTAAAAAAAATATATGAATACATTCATGGCATATAACGAGATAGTGAATACAAGGAAATACATAAAATACAACGGGATACATTGAAATGCAATGAAAAAAAAGACAATGAATACAATGAAATACATGGAATACAGCGAGATACATTGAATTACAATTAAAAAAAAAAGATAACGAATACAATGAAATACATGAAAATACAGCGCGATACGTTGAAAATAAATTGAAATATATTAACAGAAAATCAAGTTGCTCAGCCCCAAACTCCGTCGTCTTTGTTCAAGAACAAACCTTAATTTCCGACGAATCTGCCATCGAGCAAAAACCCTGAATCTCACTGTTCACACGCATCTTGTACAGTAGCCGATTTGGGGATTACACTGCTAATTGATAGCAAATGGAATACTGTGAGATTCATATGTTTCTTTATGTAACTGTATTGGAACAATTGGAACAATTGTACCAAGAGATAGCAAATGGAACAATTGTTTCTTTATGTAACTGTTTTGACTGTAATTGGGTCCAAGCATTAGTCGGGTACTAAAGATGGCGGCGATATCTGTGGCGCGTTGGTATTCTTGGTATTGTTTGGGCTTTTAGTGGCACGATCTTTGTTGAGATTGAGCATCGTGTTTTCAGGGAATGGGAAGAAAATGACATGTATCAAAGTAGAGAAAAAAATAATGTAACTGAATAGCATATTTAGTGGTTTAGGGATAGGAGGTAACCAAAATTAGATATTTTGCTATAAACATTAAAAAGTATCTATAGAATATAATTTTTTTAAATGGTATTTATTTAAAATAAATAAGGTATTAACTTTTGCTATAGGAGGTAAAAATTCCTATATATAATGCGCTAACTTTACACGCGCTGATGTGACAAATTGTATTTTTTGACACCCGGGTGCCCCCTCTCGTCACCACCCACACTGTTTCATCCCCGCCATAGCTCCCCCTGACTTATGAAAATAAGTCATTTCGAGTCAAATATTCCATAACTGGGATAATAAAGTAGTGAACAACTTCTTAACTGATCAATCAGATTAAAAGTTTAAGGAGAATATAGTCAAAAACGGATACAAAATTTAAAATTTGATAGGTACAACTTTTAATTTCTTACCACCATTGAATTTAATGGATTTTAAAAATATGGGTTAGGAATTTAATATTTGTTGGGATTTTTTAAAATTTTGTACATATATACTTGTATTTCACGCCGAAATTACTGAATTTAGTTGAACGTAACGAACAAAGATCCATTCGCCTTTGAATGTAGTCGCTTCGTTACTATTTAAGGAACTTTCAGATGAAGCTGTTGAGGGCTTACTTCTAAGAGGCCAAATGGTATCATGGAATGAATGTCCCAACAAGGAGGAGTATATGAAGACTGGAATTTCATCGAGCACTTACCTATTGCTTGTCCACCATGGACGGTCCTTCCATAAAACATGTAAAGCAATTGCTTTAGGCCCCATATTTGTGGGGACTCCATTTTCTGTTACACCTAATAGACTATGTATAAGTTTAAAAAAGAGTTTAGTAAAGTGAAAAGGTTTGATTTCTTTCTTTAAAAAATATAGAGAAGAAGGATTTGCAACTGCTATGATTTCTAACAAGGAAATTGCACTTGAAATAAATATCGAATCTGAATTACGTAAGAAACGTGTGATATATAAGAAGTAACAATTGATGTGAATGTTGATAATGAAATCTCAAAATCTTTCGAAGTGTCCTTTAGAGTTGATTACTTTTATACATAATAGACAAGACTATTTTTTCACTTCAAAATAGATTTCAATTCGAAGCATATGAAAATATTTTTGGTTTTTTATTTGGCAGTAAAAACTAAGATCACTAGATATTGAAAATTTGAAAAAAATATTGCCTTAATCTTGAATTTTCCTTAAAGCATAATAATCAATTCGATATTGATGGTTTAGATTTATTTTCTGAATTAAAAGTATTAAGAAAAATAGTACAAATAGAAGATAACGGTCTAATTGATATACTTAATCAAATAAAAAAGATTTAATTTTTTCCAAATGCCTAAATTGCTTATGGAACAATATTCATAACTCATGTTACCGTTGCTTCAGCGGAAAGAAATTTTCAAAATTAAAATTGATAAAATCTTACCTAAGAATAACAATGTCACAAAAAGCTTAAATTGATTAGCTATATTGTCATTTGAGAAATACTTATTAGGAGTTACTGATTATAAAAAAAAATTATTAATAACTTTGTATTTAAGAAAAACTAAAAAAAAATAGACTTCAAATAATAACAAAAAAAAATTAAAATATTAAGGTCCTTCATAATGTTTTGCTTTAGACCACAAAATTTGTTGGGCCGCCCTTGTGCTTGCCACTACTTCTTGGTTAGGATTGGATATCAACTAAACCTACGATTGTTGTCGCTTCGTATATCATTGCAAGATTACTCAATAATCTTGTAACACATGAGGTATGACATATATATGTTTTTGCAATCCTTGACTCTCTCTATATATAATATATATAATTTTCTATTCGTGTTCTTTAACTTGTTGTACCAGTTGCCTACCTTCTTTTTCAGATAGTAATTAATTTTACTTATTATTGATAGTTACATGTACTTATCTTTTTAAGTGACAAGATAGCGTAGAAATTCTTTTATACAATTTCAATAACCAGAAGTTCAGGAAAATTACTTTATGTACATTAATGATAGTCGTGTTACTTATGTGGTAATTCCCCTATTAGTTCTATAGACAAATTCAATAGTATGAAATAATAGCATAACGCGTACTAGTAATAATTGGACGAAGTAAAATCTTGAATGGAATAAAGTTTTAAATTCTTGGACAAGTAAAGTTTCCTTATTTTACTAATCAAACAATAGAAAAAACATTATTAATTCTCTGCAACATACGGGCACTTTAGTGTTTTGGAATTACTCCATTTATATCATATATCTGAAATGGAAAGGGGAGATTGATATATCATATCTAGTAACTTTTCACGTGTCATATAACTTATAGTATTATACTAGTAATCTATATATACATATATATATATATATATATATATATATATATATATATATTTTATATATTTTATATTATTATAGATAGATAAATAGATGCAAATTCATAACACAAAACGGGAATAGGTCTTAGTTTTGCTGTGAGGGAATTCGAATCCCACACGGCTTGGGTTTAAGTTTTGCTATGCAAAGCTTCTATAAATAAATGCGAATGAGTTTGGTTGATTATGAGATTCTCTCCTTTTGTAGCTAAACCTCCCATTCACGACATGGATACAGTGAAACAGGAAGCAGAAAAGCTAAGAGAAATCCTAGCCCAAGACCTCCGCGGCCGGAAATTTTTCAATAAGTTGGAGATTGAACAGAAACGCCTAAAAAGAGTTCGCGAAGAGGAACAACGTGAAGCCGAAGCAAAAGCCCTACGTAAAAAGCAATTATTAGAACAGAAGAGGAATTCTACCGTTAATAAATCCGACATACAATGCCTGAAGATCAAACCAGAAGAATATGCATCATCTTCTTCATCAGCCTCCCTTCCGCGAGAAGAAGTTCTTCGCCGCCTAAGGTTTTTAAAACAACCGGTGACTTTATTCGGAGAAGTTGAGGCGGCAAGGCTTGATAGGTTGAATTTTGTATTGAAAGCTGGATTGTTTGAAATTGATGATAGTGATATGACTGAGGGGCAAACCAATGACTTTTTGAGATCTATTCTGGAATTGAAGAAGCGACAGTCAGGGATGACGCTGAGTGAAATTAAGAAGCGCAAGACCACAACAGATCAGGATAAAGACGATGATGAAGATTTGAAGAGGATGAAAACAAATTTTGAGGAATTGTGTGATGAGGATAAGATTTTGGTGTTCTTCAAAAGGCTAATGAATGAGTGGAATGAGGAGATTGATGATAACATCACTAGTCCTAATCAAGCAGATCAAAACCAGAGGGTAGCTACATGTATGGAATGTGCTAGGGACTTGAATCCATTATTCGAGCTGTGCAGGAAAAAGTTACTTGCTGAGGACATAAGGCAAGCACTAATTATGATAGTTGAATGCTGTAGGAAGAGGGAATATTCAGCTGCAATGGATCGATATATTCAGATATCAATTGGCAATGCGCCTTGGCCTATTGGTGTGACTATGGTTGGTATTCACGAACGTTCAGCTCGCGAGAAGATTCACACGAATAATGTTAGTGCTGCTCATATCATGAACAATGAGACAACTAGGAAATACCTGTACTCAGTTAAAAGACTGGTGACATTCTGTCAACGACGCTACCCAACAGTGCCATCCAAATCTGTGGAGTTCAATAGCCTTGCTAATGGCAGTGACTTGCACTCTCTGCGTGCTGCACAAGAGGCAAGGCTTTCAATTAGCTGTTGTATGAAAGAAATAATATAAGGATCACGGAATCTTAATTGTGTTAATATTTGTATCCTAGTGTTCCAAGCTTGAATCAAGACCAAAATGTTCCTTTAACAGGAGCATATAAGTGACAGTCATAAATCGAAGCAAAATCTTTTACAGTAACTCTTATTTTAGGCATGGACAACGAAGGATTAAGAATAAGAAACACACAGTCTTGAGGAAATCATAAACATAAGCCTATTTTAGATATATCAACTATAGCTAAGGATTAAAATAGACAGAATATATCAATGAGGATTGACATAGATGACGGAATACTAAGTACTTTTCTCTTTATAATTTTCATTGCTCACTCTCAAAAGGAATAAAGTACAACATCAACTACAGATACAAAATTTTGGACCAGTTGGAAAAAATGTTAGCTAAATATTGAACCAATGATGAAGATAAAAGAAAGCTTCATTGGATATTTTTTTATATTATGTGCCAACCTAGCCGAGAAGGGGCTTTGGGTCGTCCTTATACAAGACATTTTCAAAAGAAAGCATTCTTCAAGAATGTCCTTTCGTCAGCCTCCAATCATCTCAGAAGAGAAGTCAAAGCTCAGAGGAATTGAGTCTGGCTCGGCCCCTCCTTAGTGACTTTGGTCTGGAAAGGAATATGGATTCGTGCAACCACGAATCCTAATTTTCATTTTTCTAAAGCAAACCATACATGGTCTCCAACCGTCTTTATCTCAAACTCATCAACCAACAACAGAAATATTACCACCAGCTGGCAGCTGCTAATAATTCCAGAGTTAAGCTTAACAACATTGCCAGAGAACAACTTTAGTTTTGTGTTTGCTCATGTCGCCTCTGACAAAATATCCTCCTCATATCGCAAAACTCCCATGTTACAGAGAACTCATTGGTTTCCAGCTTTTTTCTTCGTCATGGCTTTTCGCTTTGCTTCCCTAAGAGCCATCCTCTTCTCTTCCCTGCAAAAACGTTGAAGACAAGAATAGGTTATATGATCTGAAATTAACTCTGTTCCATTAGCACATCAGTGTTTACCAACTCGTTATCGTGGAACTAAAGAACTTTACCTAGCTTTTGCAATTTCCTCTCTGGGTGGGGGTTTCTTCTTTTCCCTCCTTTTTGGTTGCCACCGATTGGATTTCTGCCCTCCCATTTTTAGTTACACCGCCGTTTTGTCCAACACCTTTTTTATCCGAATGCTTTTGGACATTTTCATTCAATTTCCCATTCTCTTTTACAATGCCTTTTTGCTCTAAATGCTTGTCATCCCCTTCAGCATTCTGTAGGTCAATGGTATCAGCACCTTGTATTTCTTCAGACTGAGCCGACGATTTTGCAGCAGACTTGGAATTGCTCATTTTTTTTCAACTGAGGGGGAAAAAGGACATATGGGGCAAAATGTTCTCAGCAACTTCAATGCAGAAATGTTTATAATATTTTATTTATTTACAGCCACATGTGTCAGTCACAATTTATTTTTCCGTCCCAGAAACCATAATCACTTCTTCTACTCCTATCTTTTATAAGTAGAAAATCCATAATCATTTCAATTTCCACAAGCTTAATGAAATATTAAGCTTGTCTTGTCCAAGTTGTGCACATGAGGATAGAATCGCCTTGTCTTGTCCAAGGATGTGTGGAAGCGGTACCGCCTAAAGCGAATAAATCTGGGATTAAAACAGCTCTAATTAGTTGTAGAATCAAACAACCTTTCAAGTAAATGCACATAACTGACACAAGCTATACCCAGGCCTCCCAAAATCAAGACCACATGGCACAAGTTTAACATCTCTCTTCTTGAGTGCATAGTCTATAACTGCTTCATTCTGCAATACCCAAGTTAAATAAATAAGTCGAAATTGACATGCATACAAACACTTAGAAAGGTAACATTTTTTTGAAGTTTAAGTTTAGAAAGATACCTCATCAACCATAATGGAGCAGGTAGAATACACTATGTATCCACCTGATTTTGAGTTGTCATCAACCATGTCAATCGCTGCAAGTATCAGTTCCTGTAAATGTAAATTGACGGCGAAACAGGTTTCTCAAAGGCCAGTAGGCGACAACAATATGTGAAAGGGAATATGAGATAAAAATAAACATTATGGAGCAAAATTAACATTGTTGCAGGAGGGAGGGAGATGAACCTTCTAATACCATCACCAACACCCTCCTGCTTTCGGAGGGTGCAGATAACAACACACGCAAAAATAAAGGCAACTAGAATTGCAAAATCCGTGCCCCTATACAACAAATAAGATCAATGAAATCAATTATTAGAAACAAAGAAGATAATGTTCGGTAACTTAAATCTCTCCAAAACTACAGAATTCCAGAAACCCGTATTTTCTAACAGCCCGAGAAGTCAGATGCTGGCAATATGCTTTATACGGGTTGTCTTATGAAGCATAACAAGCTCTCAAGCATACAACCAGTTCACTGAAATTTTCATGATTGCAAGTCTAGGAATATGGATGACACAAAATCGCCACATTTACACGTCAAACTCATTTATACCTTCTGCAGTTGTGAGCAGTTTTGTATATCAGCAGCGGTTTTGGAAGTTTTAACAGACTCGTCCTTGGAGATTACCTGCAGAACAAACGAAAATCATCTGATTAAATATGATTGCAGGCAAACATATACATCAAACATTACCACATACCCCAGTGCCACTGCAGGGAGCATCCAGCAAATCCTATCAGCAGTGTTCTGACCGAAGACTTTAGGCAGCTGAAATGATTCCCAGACAAGGTATTAGATCAGAGGACTTAACCATATATTATCACTATGTAAACCAAGAAACAGAGACACAAGGCCAGCAAAATCTGTCAAATTAGTGCCTATAGCTCAATGAAATTAGTATAGAGCTACTTCAGCCAACAAGAATGAGTGATCATTGCGGGGAAGAAGGTAGAACAACATTGTATGAGATATAAATATAAAAACAAAAATGCAGCAAGTTCTAAATGGTAGATTGCAAAATATCCTGGTTCTAACCTCTCTTCCATCATAGTTACAGACAATAGTGTTTGTTACCCCCATGCGATGTAAATTAGCAGTGAGCGATTTAAGTCTTGTCTCCTTCATCTCATTTGCATAAATAAAACTTGATTTTCCAAGGTGAAATATGTCAGTTCCATTCAGACAATGATTGAAATGGCAAATGATGTTAACCAACAATATAGAAGACAGTTTTACTTACAATTAACTTCAAAACCAGAACCAGGGAGAAGAGAGAAGTTAGAAAAAAATATCATGGCATATATTATTATGTCTCTAAAGCTTATGACAAACAACAGGCAGTATATAAGACACATCAGGAGAAGATGTTCATTCAATACAATCTATTTTTTTTAAACAAACAAAAACCTGAAGAAATTTCACTAGAGCAAGCAAACAGATTGACAGCACAGGTTAACGTAAACCAATGACTAAGAATGATGTACATGAAGTCACATATAGGAACATCTGCAGTAAGGTCACATATCATTCACATTAAATCAAAAGTGCAACTTAAAAAGGGAAAGAGTGCAGAGTCTAGACTAGTTTGAGATAGAAATTACCTCCACTAATCTTCAATCAGAAAATCATTGTATCCATAATATGAACCCAAGTCCCTTTTAAGTTGATCAACGTAATCCTTACGTGTCACACCTTCTTGCCTCAATGACTTAAAATTTGAAAGCACTCGAACAACTGCATTTATTTTTATTATATTTCAATAATAAAGTTACTTCTCGAAAGAAAAATAATTCAGAAAGGGAAGATGAAGGAAAAGAAACTCACTCTCTTTGAGAGATCCGGGGGTCTATGTGTTTCTTCTTCAAGCTCCTAAAAATACAATGACATATTTGTTGCGGAAGCCAAATGTATATAGTGTGAATAAGTCACAACTACTATACCAA